CGGGCCGAATGTGACGCCCTTCTGAGGAATGCAAAAGGCAGGGCTGGAACTCTTCAAGAGAAGGCCGATGCCTATGATAAGCTTGTCCAGGAGAATGCCTCTCAGAAGGAGCTCCTCAAGAAGCAGGAGGCCGAGCTTGTGGATCTTCGCAGCTGGATGTGGGCCGTAAAGCAGGCCAAGGTGGAACTCCGCCGTACGGGCGTGGACAATCATGTCCCCATTTACGAGGCCGATGTCGCCAAGATCAAGGAATCCGGATCCATAGCGTTCCAAAAATCCAAGGCTTACACTGGCGCCATTCACACCATGGCCATTAAGTTCCTCCCGAGGCTCGTTGGTGAGTTCTTGGCCACCTGCCCGGATGCCTATCTGGATGGGGTTAAGTTGCTTCAGGCCACGCCCACCGGGCGGCGTTTTCTTGATGATCTCGCCGACGATACCTATCGCAAGGGTATGGTTGGGCTAGTAGCGGAGAATCTCCCGACGTTCGAGCGTCACTTCGGGGCTCCTTTTGATCCGGAGGCGGCTGGCTTTGACGTCCTGATGGCAGATGCCCATGCGGGGGCCCTTGAGCTGCTGAAGGAGCAGGAGGAAGCCGAAGCTAGGGAAAAAGCCAAGCAGACTCTTTCCAAGGCTCCAACTCCGGGCGTCGATCGGCAGTGATTCTCCGTTCATCACCTTGTACTTGTACAATTTTTTCTATTATTTGCATTGTACCCTCGCACATTGTAGTTTCCCGGCCAATAGTGCCGAAGAATAAAATCATTCTTTGCTCTGTGCTCTTCCGGCATCTTTTTTTTTGGAGTCTTTTAGTCTTCGTTCGTCCTTGGTCCTTGGTCCTACCGGCGTCCCTACTTCGAGGAGACGTTCGGTATCCGCAGACATCGCAAGGAGGAACAGGTTTATCTACATCGAGATTCCCCCTTTTTTCGTTCGTCCGTGGTCCTTTTAGTCTTACCGGCGTCTCTTGCTTCGAAGAAGACGTTCGGTACCCAAGGAACTCGCAGGGACGAACAGGTTTACCCTCACGGGTTCCCGACTTTGTTATCCCACGTCCATCGATCCATGGTCATTTGTGGGGTAAACAGGTTTATCTTGGCAAGCTCCCTTGGTTCGTCTAGCCCCCTCCGCGTCTCTACTAACCTCTACATCGAGAGGCGTTCATCTTCGGCAGTGGGGGAAGATCTGGCACGCCCGGGCAAGATTCCCTTCCGTATAGGAGCTACCCTCCCCATCTCCCCATCTTCTCTCTTTTTTTTTTTTGAGGGAGGCAATCTATACTCTTCGTTCGTCATTGGTCCTTGGTCCTACCGACGTTCCTACTTCGAGGAGACGTTCGGTATCCGTAGACACCTCAATGAGGAACAGGTTTATCTGCATCGAGATTCCCTGGTGCTTCGTACGTCCCTGGTCCGGGGTTCGGCCGATGCTTCTTGCCTCGAAGAAGCCGATCGGTGGCCGCGAGACTCACAGGGGCGGACAGGTATATCTACGTCGAGATTCCCTTCCTTAATGGTCGTTGGCAAGAACAGAAGTGATGAAAAACAGGGGACCTTATCATTGACGACGTCCGGTCATTTTACATGGGAGTGGGAATAATACAAGGACAACGGCCTCTAACTATTGATAGAATTTCTTCAGGTGTTCTACGTTCCACATCCCGGCATGGTTCCCCTCCAGGGTATGGAGGAGGAACGTCCCCTGGTTGTATCTTCTGATGACCTGGTAAGGTCCTTCCCAGTTCTTCGCCATTTTGCCACCTTCGAGCGGCTTGCTTTTCTCTCTTTTCCTGAGTACGAGGTCCCCGGCCTCTATTTCGCGGAATTTCACGACCTTGTTGAAGTATCTCTGAGTGGCCCTGTGATACTCTTCCATGCGACGAGCTGCTAGGTCCCTCCGTTCCTCTATGAAGTGGAGCTCCGCTCGTAGGTTGGCCTCGTTGTCCTCCGGTTGGTAATGCCTGGTGCGATGTGTAGGTACCAGCACCTCCGTTGGCACCTTAGCTTGGAACCCATAAGCCAAGGCAAAAGGGGTTTCCCCAGTCGCCGTTCTTGGCGTCGTCCTGTACGTCCACAAGACATAATTCAGCTGCTCCGGCCAGGTGGAGGCGTAGTCTTCCAATTTTTTCTTGATTCCATCCATGATGGTCCGGTTCATGTTCTCCACCTGGCCGTTAGCCTGCGGGTAGGCCACCGAGGCCTTAGAGTGCCTGATGCCCCACTTCGCCAGGTATGCCTCAAATCCTCTGCCGACGAACTGCCGGCCGTTGTCGGTGATGACCTGCTCCGGGATCCCGAATCGGCATATGATGTTCTGCCAGACGAACTTCTGGCATTGGAATTCAGTGATGGAGGCCAACGGTTCGGCCTCCACCCACTTTGTGAAATAATCAATCGCCACGATGACGAACTTCCTTCCACCAGCAGCCGTTGGCAGAGGGCCCAGCAGATCTACGCCCCACCGAGCAAAAGGTAGTGCGATGGTCGTCGGGGTGTAGAAGCTCGCCGGACGCCCAGGGACAGGCGCATATTGTTGGCATACTGCGCACTTCCGAGTGTGGTTGAAGCAATCTTGCTGTATGGTCGGCCAGTAATAGCCCTGCAGGATGATTTTTCTGGCCAGGGTTCGGGGGCCTTGGTGGCTGGAACAGATCCCTTCATGTATCTCTTCGATCACCGCTGCTGCTAGGCTTGGCGGGAGACACCTGAGGTAAGGTCCGCCGAACGTCTTCTTATAGAGTTGCCCATCTATAAGTTCAAAATTAGGGGCACGCCTCCTTATCCACGCAGCTCTTCCAGCACTGCCATCCTCATCGGGCTCGGGGAGTGTTCCATCTCTGAGGTAATCTGCTATCTCCTTCGCCCAGTTGGGTTCAGCGATGGAGACAGCCTCCACCTGGATGACGTCCGTCGCCGGTGCTGGGAACACTTCCTGCCTGACGAAGCCCCTGATGTGGCTGGGGAAGCCTGTCGCTGGATCATCAGCCGGGGGATTGCTTAGCTTCGAGAGTATGTCTACCTCTACATTCTCCACCCGTGACACCTGCTCAAGGATCACCTGCTCAAATTTCGCGGTCTGCTCCTCCGCCAGCTCCTTGTAAACCTTCATTCTCTCCTCCCTGGTTTCTGCAGTGTCGTTCATCTGGGTTACCACCAGCTGGCTGTCCATCCTCACCTTCAGACGAGCTGCTCCGAGGGCTTTCGCGCATTTTAGCCCCGCGATAAGCGCCTCGTACTCAGCCTCGTTGTTGGTGACCTTGAACTCAAATTTTATAGAGTAGTAGGCTTTGAAACCCTCGGGGGAAGTGATTACCGCTCCTCTGCCACAGCCCCGCGCACTCGAGGCCCCATCGGTGTACATCTCCCACCAATTGTCAAAGTCATTGCCGTCATGGGATTCGTCCTCGGTGCGCGCGGTGCATTCCGCAATGAAGTCCGCTAGTGCCTGTCCTTTGATCGTCGGCCTTGGCTTGAAGTCCACGTCATACTGGCCGATCATCAGGGACCACTTGGTTATCCTCCCGCTTGCCATTGGGTTCCTGAGGACTGTGGCGAGGGGCTGCGTTGTGTAGATGGTCACCGGGTGTGCTTGGAAATACGGTGCCAGGCGCTTGATGGATGCAATCAAGGCAAGGATCGTCTTCGACATCAATGTGTATCTCGTCTCGGGGCCGTTCAGCGCCTTACTCACAAAGTATATTGGTCGCTGAACGCCTTCTGACTCCTTCAGCAGCACGGCACTCACGGCCAGATCGGCTACTGCCAAATACATGTACAACCTCTCCCCGGGATCCGCTTTGGTGAGGACGAGCGGAGAGGAGAGATATATCTTGAAATCTTCGAAAGCAGCCTGACACTCCGGGGTCCATTCAAAGGGGTTGGCCTTCTTCATGATCTAGAAAAAGGGAATCGCCTTATCAGCCAGCTTGGATAGGAATCTGCTCAGGGCCGCCAGACGCCTGGTGAGCCGCTGCACGCCTTTTAGGTTCTTTGGGGCCTCCATGTCCATAATTGCCTTTACCTTCTCCGGGTTAGGCTCGATCCCCCGCTCGCTCATCATGTAGCCGAGGAACTTGCCGCCCCTGACGGCGAAGGCACACTTCTTCGGATTGAGCCTCATGCTGGCCCTCTCCATGATGCTGAAGACCCTCTCCATGTCCTGGACATGGTCCTCCTTTTTCTTACTTTTGATCAGGATGTCATCCACGTAAGCTTCCATTATTTTCCCAAGTACGTCCTTGAACAACATCCCAATCATCCTCTGAAAAGTGGCCATGGCGTTTCTCAGGCCGAACGGCATGACGATGTAGCAATACACGCTGTCCGCCGTGACGAACGCCGTTTTTTTCGGCATCATCGGGGTGCATGAACACCTGATGGTAGCCTCTGAATGTAACACCGTCCCCAAGTATATTTACTTTTATGAAAATAATGTATTGAAACCTTATTAAAGGATTAATGAATTTACGAAGTTGTAAATTTTTGTGATTTCTTTCGCGTGAATAATAAATTGCACGTGGGACCCACACCGGGAGTGGGGGCCGCCCGACATTCCCGAGACCATATATTTTATTCATCTTGGTCTAGATAATAAATATATAGTGGTGGATATTTCATTTGGGCTATGGGAAAGCCCAGAGTAGACCGGTTGGTCAAAAGGAGCCCAAATTATCGGTACTGGTAATTTAACTGATAACAGCCCGAACTGAATTTCGGGGGCTTATAAATTAAAGTTGGGGAATGTATATTCATTATACATGTCATAATGAGTAAGAGCACATAATATATTTTATTTGACCCGATAAAATAAAATATATTTAAAACAGTCCGAAAAATACAACTTTCGGGACCGATTGTACACACTGGGACACAAAGGGATGACCTCCCACATGAGTGGGGGCCACCCCACGTTTTTGTGTGCTCCAATTAATCAAAGAGGGCTGGATAGACAAGGGAAGAGGCTGAAAAGATGGTATTGGCATCTAAGGTACATGGGTGACCCCCCTCCCATCACATATTTGCCAATCAAGGCAAAAGTGAACACCCCCTCTCTTCCCTCATCATTTGAGTTCGGCCAGCACCAAGGGTAGGAGGAGAAAAAGCTCTGAAACTTCATCTTCCATAGCCAATATTCGAGCTCAACCTAAAGTGGTCCAAGGAGGAAGATTAAAGAGAGAAAAAGTTGGGAAAAGTGTGAATAATTAAGGTAATGACCTTATTATACCTTTTCCTCTATTTTTCTTTTACAAAATGAGATATATATCATATGAGGGATCCTTAGTATGGTTTCACATGTTATAAGTATGGATTTATGGGTTGGAAAATGGTTCTACGTCCAAAAACGGACTTAGAAGCCAAAACGACCGGTTTACCGGGAAATAACCTTTTTGAGGTTATTTGTATTAATATGGGTTTTATGATTATAAAACCTTGTTAGGCACTTGTAAAGGGTATTTCAAGTGGTTTCACAAAGTTGGAAAAGTCGCCGGAGTCGTCGCCGGAGTTGACCAAAAGTCGCCGGAGTTTCACCGGAGTTCAACCAAGAAGGGTAGAACTTCATAACGCTAGTTCAAGGTGAGTGGACGGCTTAATATCTTATAACTTTTGGGTTAATTATGAGATTACCTAAATAAATGTTATATGAGTTCATAATAATGTTTAAAAGATATTTAAACATGTGATTAGCCAATAGGGTTAAGTTTGTATGAAAGAAATTAATTGTTGATGCATGGAATATGATGTGAAGAATTATATGAAATGCATATTTGCTTGAAGTGTATTAGAAGCACAAATGAATATTATTAACTTAATTATATGATGATTAAGTTGATACACACAAGGCATGAAATGGCGGTCAACGAAAACGTGGACCGAAGAACAAAGGATTTAATTAATACCGGTTGGTATTAATTAAATATAAATCTATATAAATGCATGGTTTTGCATGGATTGTGATACATAAGAATTTATGTATTGGATTAGTTATGAGTAACTAAGTATGATATAGACTCTATCTAGGTTGATAGGAGGTTGATAATAGGAAAACTTGGTGGAGGACCCTAGTACTTAAAAAGTACTTAACACTCAAAACTTGGTGGAGGACCCTAGTACTTAAAAAGTACTTAACACTCAAACTTGGTGGAGGACCCTAGTACTTAAAAAGTACTTAACACTCAAACTTGGTGGAGGACCCTAGTACTTAAAAAGTACTTAACACTCAAACTTGGTGGAGGACCCTAGTACTTAAAAAGTACTTAACACTCAAACTTGGTGGAGGACCCTAGTACTTAAAAAGTACTTAACACTCAAACTTGGTGGAGGACCCTAGTACTTAAAAAGTACTTAACACTCAAAACTTGGTGGAGGACCCTAGTACTTAAAAAGTACTTAACACTCAAACTTGGTGGAGGACCCTAGTACTTAAAAAGTACTTAACACTCAAACTTGGTGGAGGACCCTAGTACTTAAAAAGTACTTAACACTCAAAACTTGGTGGAGGACCCTAGGACTTATGAGTCCTTAACACTCACAAACCGGTGGAGTATCCAAGGATTATGATCCTAAAACTCATAGATTATGACATACAATTAGGGACAAGGAGGAGTCCTCTACACTCATAGGTATATGGGTGGGCTGGGGTTTTTAGTCAAGAGTATTGACTATTACTATTTTTCCCAAATAAAATGGTGATCTACGGGTCGGATATTTTCCAAGTATATATATACTAATAAGTATTTCATAACTTGGGGGAAGGACTATTTATTTAAGTATCACCCTATGTTTGGGTCTTATACTTGAAACGCTAGTTATTCTATATTTAGCCTGCTACTCGCTCGGTACTTGTACTGACCCCTTCGGGGGGCCCCACCATTTTCAGGTTGAAGCTAGGGCTTGCTACTTGCACCTTCTCACGGGTGGTATCATATCGGGAAGACGTGGTTCGTGCTTCCTTATTTTCTTTCAAACTACCGAACACTTGCTCATGGATATTTGTTTTACTATAAACTATTTTTGGGGCTTGCATGCCCATGTTGTTGGCCGGTTGTGGCTCATGACTTACCGTTGAATATTTCCGCTATTCATTGGTTTAAATGTGATGTTGTTATGTATGTTTACTACTGAGTATGGATGGATTGTTTTCTAGGACGCCTTGTGTAATTAAGTGATGTTGACTCGTGGGTGACGTCACTTGATTATACGGCGGTTGTACACGCGCTTGGATTGCGGTCTGGGGCGTGACAATTAAGTGGTATCAGAGCCATCTCAGTTCTAAACTATATAATCAACCTCTCACAAAGGATTTTACAAAAGAGTTTTTACCGAAAACCATGAGCATTGTATTTTGACGTATATAGGACTATTGGTGCTTAAGTTGCAAGGCCTCTAATTGTTAAGACGGTACCCTTAACAATTGGTATGGTGGTGACTTGGGTCAATACGTGTCTATAACGTTTTTCCGTCAACTGACATTTATAGGAGTCTAAAGACTCGTCCAAATTCCGTTTCAGAAATGGAGGGTAGGCGAATGGCAACAAGAATTGACCCTAAGGGACAAGCGTCGGTAGCTTACCTTGGGGCTAGCCGGGCTGTGTCGCGAGCCCTTACGAGGAGAGGAATAGGTCATGGGGGCCGCGAGGGCCGCGAGGGTCGCCAAGCGGCAAGCGCTAGTCACGTGGGCTCGATGTGTAACATGAACACCAGGAGGAACGAACGTAGGCGTCAGGCTAGGCGAGATCGGGCCACCTCCCAACGTGATATGACTGTCAGTCAAACCCATCCTTGGGCAAACGACCAAGGAGGAGAAAGCACTTTTGCGGCACCAGCATCACCGGTAAAAAGAAAAGGAACTCAAAGTGGCATGCGTCCTTTCCTTACTCATTAAGATCATCCAAATGTTCGAATTGCTCTAAGAAGCATTTCGGAAAGTGCATCGAGCCCCCGATGTGCTACGAATGTGGGAGCACAACCCATATGAAATTAAGCTGCCCATGGAGGAGACAACGAGAAACATCGCAAGCCGATGAAGGGCTCACCGTGGAAGGAAACCATACGGGACCAACGACGAGCAACGCTATGTTCGGCAACCAATGTGGGACCCAAACACGAGTGTACGCAATGACCGAGGCGGATGCGCGAGCAAACCCGGACTCCGTTGCAGGTAATACACTAACTTTCATGTATTTCTAGGCTTATTTGGGTCGTACGAGTCATTGGGTTTGGGTGCGGGCCACCCCGGGGTCAAACCCCGCGAATTCGGGGCGAAACGGGCTAAAAACAACTACGCGCGATCGCGCGTACCTACAGACGCACGACCGTGCGTACGAGGCAGCAGCCTCTGGCCATTTTCCGCGCAGACGCACGCCGTGCGTGCAGGGAAGGCACGCCGTGCGTGGGACGCACGATCGTGCGTGACCAGCTACGCACGATCGTGCGTAGCCGGCAGTGGCGGATTCCGAATTTCTCACGCACGCACGACCGTGCGTGCCACCCAGGCACGCCGTGCGTGGACCCCAGGCACCCGAAACTTGATTTTTTCGCCCCGTTCTCCTACGTTTGGATCCCCGTTTGATTCCAAAACATTAGTATGAACCTAATAACCTCCTAAAGATGTGTAAAAACATTAGAAAAGGTATCTTACATGGTGTATAAATGTAGGAACATTAAGGATCAATGATAGGTGTGCGAGGATCCTCATCGATACCGGGGGCACAACGCTCATTTGTGAGTGAGGCGTTTGCCGAGGGGCTCGACGTGCCATTGACGCCTATGACACAAACATTGCTAGTCTCCACACCGTTGGGAGACGACGTGGAGAGAAATCATTACTATCCATCATGTGAGGTGGAAGTGACGGGTCAACCCTTGACTTGTGATTTCGTACCTCTAAGCATGTTGGAGTTCGATGCAATCCTAGGAATGGATTGGCTTGAGAAGCACCATGCTCGAGTTGATTGCTACACCAAGGTGTTGGAGCTCGAGGATGATCTAGGAAACACGTTATGTTTCGAAGGAGATCGGGGGGAATCTAGTGCTTGTATCATATCCGTGATGAGAGCACGGAAGATGATGAGGAAGGGATGCCACGCGTACCTTGCCTACGTGGTGGACGATACCAAGAAGGAAGTCGACATCAAAGATGTACGGGTCGTGTGCAAGTACCCGGATGTCTTTCTCAAAGACCTACCGGGGCTTCCACCCGACAGAGAGATAGAGTTTGTAATTGAAGTGGAGCCGGGAACCAAACCCATTTCGATTCCTCCTTATCGAATGGCACCGGCCGAACTTCAAGAGTTGAAGGTCCAGCTACAAGAGCTATTGGACAACGGGTTCATCAGACCCAGTCATTCACCGTGGGGAGCACCCGTACTATTCGTAAAGAAGAAAGATGGTACACTAAGAATGTGTATCGACTACCGACAGTTGAACAAGGTCACCATCAAGAACAGGTATCCCTTACCGAGGATTGATGACTTGTTCGATCAACTTCGAGGGGCAATAGTGTTCTCGAAGATTGACTTGAGGTCGGGGTATCATCAGTTGAAGATCAAGGAGAGTGACATACCTAAGAGTGCATTTTGCACTAGATATGGTCATTACGAATTCCTTGTGATGTCATTTGGTTTAACCAACGCACGGGCGGCATTCATGGACTTGATGAACCGTGTGTTTAGTGAATACTTAGACCAATTTGTGATAGTATTCATTGACGACATCCTGATATACTCCAAGAGCGAGGAAGAGCACGAACACCATTTGAGGCTCGTACTTGATCGGCTAAGGGAAAAGCAACTCTTCGCCAAGTTCTCCAAATGCGAATTTTGGCTCAAAGAGATTGGTTTCCTCGGTCATGTCATATCCGGTTCAGGTGTTGCTGTGGATAACGCCAAGATAAAAGCTATCATGGATTGGGAGAGACCCAGGAATGCGAAGGAAATACGTAGTTTCCTTGGCTTAGCGGGATACTATCGTAAATTTGTTGAAAGGTTCTCCGTATTGGCGTCTCCATTAACGAAGCTCACAAAGAAAGGGGCCAAGTTCATATGGGACGACAAGTGTGAGAAGGGGTTCCTTGAATTGAAGAAACGACTTACCGAAGCACCAGCCTTTGCCCTACCCATACAGGGGATAGGGTATGACATTTACAGCGATGCTAGCATCCAAGGGCTTGGATGTGTACTGATGCAAAACGGTAAGGTGATTGCATATGCTTCTAGGCAATTGAGGAAACACGAGGTGAACTACCCTACTCACGATCTAGAGTTGGGGGCGGTGGTGTTTGCATTGAAGATTTGGAGGCATTATCTCTACGGGGAGACGTGTCACATTTATACTGATCATAAGAGCTTGAAGTATGTATTCACTCAGAAAGAGTTGAATACGAGGCAGAGGAGATGGATGGAGTTGATCAAGGACTATGACTTGATCATCGACTATCATCCCGGAAAGGCCAATGTAGTGGCCGACGCACTGAGCAGGAAGAGTACGTCAGGGACGTTACTTACTTGTCTACGAGTATTGAGGGCACACGTGGAGGTGTCCACGACCAAGGCGCTCATTGCTAGGTTCGAGGTGAGGCCTACATTGCTGAGTGAGATCAGTAGATGTCAGGCCATTGATGAGGAATGTCAGAAGATCTGCGAACGGATCCTGGAGGGGCCCGTTGAGAATTTTCGGGTACGTGATGACGGCCTTTTATTATTTAAGGATCGTGTGTGCACACCAAAGGATGAGGAGCTCCAGAAGTCTATACTTGGGGAGGCTCATTCTTCAGCATATGCTATGCATCCAGGAGGTACTAAGATGTACCGAGATCTGAAGGAAAGTTACTGGTGGCCAGGTATGAAGAGAGATATCGCAGAGTATGTGAGTCGATGCCTTACTTGCCAACAAGTTAAGGCAGAGCACCAGCACCCGGCAGGGCTTTTGCAACCACTTACCATCCCGGAGTAGAAGTGGGAACATGTGACCATGAACTTCGTGGTGGGGCTACCACGAACAGTGAACAACTACGATGCAGTATGGGTAGTGGTTGATAGGCTCACCAAGAGTGCACACTTTCTGCCTATCAACATTACTTATCCTCTTGAAAGATTGGCCAAACTGTACACGAAGGAGATTGTGAGATTACATGGAGTCCCAATATCCATTATCTCGGATAGGGATCCACGATTCACATCCCGATTTTGGCCAAAGTTTCAAGCATCTTTGGGGACTAAACTGAAGTTAGCACAACTTTTCGCCCACAGACGGATGGACAGTCCGAGCGGGTGATACAGATCTTGGAAGACATGCTTAGGGCATGTGCGCTGGAGTTCCAAGGAAGTTGGGACAAGCATTTGGCCCTAGTGGAGTTTGCTTATAACAACAGTTATCAAGCGAGTATCGGCATGCCTCCATATGAGGCATTGTAGGGGAGGAAATGCAGAACACCATTGTGATGGGACAAGGTTGGCGAGGCCAAACTCGAAGGGATTGAACTGGTTGAGATCACCAAGGCCAAGGTGAGGATCATTCGGGATAGACTGAAGGCTGCTCAGGACCGACAGAAGAGTTACGCTGATAGACGGCGGAGACCGTTGGAGTTCGAAGTCGGTGATGAGGTCTTCCTAAGAATTTCTCCTTGGAAGGGCATCATTCGATTTGTATCGAGGGGAAAGCTTAACCCCCGATACATCGGCCCATTTGAAATCCTTGAAAGGATAGGGGCCGTGACTTACCGTCTCAAGTTGACGCCTGAACTTGAGAAGATACATGACGTGTTTCATGTATCAATGATCAAGAAGTACATACGAGACCCATCTCATATTCTTGAGAAACCACCGGTAGAGATCCATGAGGATTTGCAATATGCGGTGGAACCGGTGAAGATTGTTGGTCAACAAGTGAAGAAACTTAGGAACGAGGAGATTCCTATGGTAAAGGTTTTGTGGAGGAGTGATCGAGTCGAAGAAGAAACTTGGGAGACCGAGGTCTCAATGAGGGAGCAATACCCATTTCTTTTCGATTAGATACTTGGATTTCGGGGACGAAATCCCAAATAAGGGGGGGTGAACTTGTAACACCGTCCCCAAGTATATTTACTTTTATGAAAATAATGTATTGAAACCTTATTAAAGGATTAATGAATTTACGAAGTTGTAAATTTTTGTGATTTCTTTCGCGTGAATAATAAATTGCACGTGGGACCCACACCGGGAGTGGGGGCCGCCCGACATTCCCGAGACCATATATTTTATTCATCTTGGTCTAGATAATAAATATATAGTGGTGGATATTTCATTTGGGCTATGGGAAAGCCCAGAGTAGACCGGTTGGTCAAAAGGAGCCCAAATTATCGGTACTGGTAATTTAACTGATAACAGCCCGAACTGAATTTCGGGGGCTTATAAATTAAAGTTGGGGAATGTATATTCATTATACATGTCATAATGAGTAAGAGCACATAATATATTTTATTTGACCCGATAAAATAAAATATATTTAAAACAGTCCGAAAAATACAACTTTCGGGACCGATTGTACACACTGGGACACAAAGGGATGACCTCCCACATGAGTGGGGGCCACCCCACGTTTTTGTGTGCTCCAATTAATCAAAGAGGGCTGGATAGACAAGGGAAGAGGCTGAAAAGATGGTATTGGCATCTAAGGTACATGGGTGACCCCCCTCCCATCACATATTTGCCAATCAAGGCAAAAGTGAACACCCCCTCTCTTCCCTCATCATTTGAGTTCGGCCAGCACCAAGGGTAGGAGGAGAAAAAGCTCTGAAACTTCATCTTCCATAGCCAATATTCGAGCTCAACCTAAAGTGGTCCAAGGAGGAAGATTAAAGAGAGAAAAAGTTGGGAAAAGTGTGAATAATTAAGGTAATGACCTTATTATACCTTTTCCTCTATTTTTCTTTTACAAAATGAGATATATATCATATGAGGGATCCTTAGTATGGTTTCACATGTTATAAGTATGGATTTATGGGTTGGAAAATGGTTCTACGTCCAAAAACGGACTTAGAAGCCAAAACGACCGGTTTACCGGGAAATAACCTTTTTGAGGTTATTTGTATTAATATGGGTTTTATGATTATAAAACCTTGTTAGGCACTTGTAAAGGGTATTTCAAGTGGTTTCACAAAGTTGGAAAAGTCGCCGGAGTCGTCGCCGGAGTTGACCAAAAGTCGCCGGAGTTTCACCGGAGTTCAACCAAGAAGGGTAGAACTTCATAACGCTAGTTCAAGGTGAGTGGACGGCTTAATATCTTATAACTTTTGGGTTAATTATGAGATTACCTAAATAAATGTTATATGAGTTCATAATAATGTTTAAAAGATATTTAAACATGTGATTAGCCAATAGGGTTAAGTTTGTATGAAAGAAATTAATTGTTGATGCATGGAATATGATGTGAAGAATTATATGAAATGCATATTTGCTTGAAGTGTATTAGAAGCACAAATGAATATTATTAACTTAATTATATGATGATTAAGTTGATACACACAAGGCATGAAATGGCGGTCAACGAAAACGTGGACCGAAGAACAAAGGATTTAATTAATACCGGTTGGTATTAATTAAATATAAATCTATATAAATGCATGGTTTTGCATGGATTGTGATACATAAGAATTTATGTATTGGATTAGTTATGAGTAACTAAGTATGATATAGACTCTATCTAGGTTGATAGGAGGTTGATAATAGGAAAACTTGGTGGAGGACCCTAGTACTTAAAAAGTACTTAACACTCAAAACTTGGTGGAGGACCCTAGTACTTAAAAAGTACTTAACACTCAAACTTGGTGGAGGACCCTAGTACTTAAAAAGTACTTAACACTCAAACTTGGTGGAGGACCCTAGTACTTAAAAAGTACTTAACACTCAAACTTGGTGGAGGACCCTAGTACTTAAAAAGTACTTAACACTCAAACTTGGTGGAGGACCCTAGTACTTAAAAAGTACTTAACACTCAAACTTGGTGGAGGACCCTAGTACTTAAAAAGTACTTAACACTCAAAACTTGGTGGAGGACCCTAGTACTTAAAAAGTACTTAACACTCAAACTTGGTGGAGGACCCTAGTACTTAAAAAGTACTTAACACTCAAACTTGGTGGAGGACCCTAGTACTTAAAAAGTACTTAACACTCAAAACTTGGTGGAGGACCCTAGGACTTATGAGTCCTTAACACTCACAAACCGGTGGAGTATCCAAGGATTATGATCCTAAAACTCATAGATTATGACATACAATTAGGGACAAGGAGGAGTCCTCTACACTCATAGGTATATGGGTGGGCTGGGGTTTTTAGTCAAGAGTATTGACTATTACTATTTTTCCCAAATAAAATGGTGATCTACGGGTCGGATATTTTCCAAGTATATATATACTAATAAGTATTTCATAACTTGGGGGAAGGACTATTTATTTAAGTATCACCCTATGTTTGGGTCTTATACTTGAAACGCTAGTTATTCTATATTTAGCCTGCTACTCGCTCGGTACTTGTACTGACCCCTTCGGGGGGCCCCACCATTTTCAGGTTGAAGCTAGGGCTTGCTACTTGCACCTTCTCACGGGTGGTATCATATCGGGAAGACGTGGTTCGTGCTTCCTTATTTTCTTTCAAACTACCGAACACTTGCTCATGGATATTTGTTTTACTATAAACTATTTTTGGGGCTTGCATGCCCATGTTGTTGGCCGGTTGTGGCTCATGACTTACCGTTGAATATTTCCGCTATTCATTGGTTTAAATGTGATGTTGTTATGTATGTTTACTACTGAGTATGGATGGATTGTTTTCTAGGACGCCTTGTGTAATTAAGTGATGTTGACTCGTGGGTGACGTCACTTGATTATACGGCGGTTGTACACGCGCTTGGATTGCGGTCTGGGGCGTGACACTGAATGCGTCCATGAAGCTGAGCAGCTCGCAGCCTGCTGTCTCATCCACTAGCAAGTCGATCCTCGGGACAGGGTAAGGATCCATCGGACAAGCTTTGTTGAGGTCCGAGTAATCGACGCACATCCGCCAAGTGTCGCCCTTCGGGGCTAGTACCACGTTGGCCAACCACTCCACGTGGATGACCGGCCGGATATGTTTGATGCTGAGGAGAGTTGATGTCTCCTTCCTGATGAAATCGCGCCAGTCGGCCGCCATATATCTTTTCTTCTTTTGTATAGGCTTGGCATCCGACCGCACGGCGAGTCTATGGCATATGAGGTTGGGGTCGATGCCCGGCATGTCCTCTGGTCCTCTGGCGAACAAGATTTTGAACCTTCGGAGGACGGCTATGACCCCTGCTATGATCTCCGGCTCTAGATCTGCACTGATGGACACCTTCCTGTCCGTCGGGTCGCCGAGCTCAATTTCTTCCAGCAGAGTTGCTGGTTCCAGATGGGCATCCAAGTCGGCCTGTTTGGCTTTCTCGGAGATGCTGTTGACCCGAGCCTCCCGCTCGTTGAGCTTCTCCATGGCCTTCGTGTAGCAGGCCCTGGCCATATGCAGGTCCGTACGTGCTACCCCCACTCCAGTGTCGGTGGGGAATTTGATGCACGAGTGCCGTACAGAGCATATGGCCCCCAAGTCTTCCAAGCCGGGCCGGCCCAAAATGGCGTTGTGGGCGCATTTCAGGCGGACCACGACGAACGTCATTCCGATCCGGGCGGTGTGAGGGCCGTCGCCGATCTCTACTGGCAAGATGATGGTGCCCTCAGCATCAATGCAATCCCCGGTGAAGCCGGACAGCGGGGTACGCAGAGGGTGCAACATGTCCTTCTTGAGCTTCATTCCCTCGAAAGCCTCCCAGTAGAGGACATTCACACTGCTCCCAGTATCAACAAGGACGCGGCGGACGATGGCATCGTTCACGTCCATGCTGATCACCAGCTCGTCTCTGTGCGGCGCTGGTGACATCGGCAGATCGGCGGGCCCGAAGGTGATTGCCTCGATCTTGTTGTGCTTGGTGGGGGGTGCTGACACGGAACCCACGTAGAGTGATCTCTCAAATTTCTTCCGCTCGGCGGGTGTATCCCCTGTCTCAGCGCCCCCGAAGATCACCTTGATCTCCAGCTTCTTCTTTTTGCCCTTCGGGCCAAGGGACCCCTCCGGACGTTTATCTGTACTTCGATAATCCACGTCCTGAGGTTCTGCCTCGCGCCGGTCGTCGCGGTGCCACGTCCGGGGTCGGGGATTCGGCTTCTGTTGGCTATTTTTGTTCAACAGTTGGGTGAACTCGCCCAAGTACCCCTGACGGATCAGCTCATCGATCGCTTTCTTTAGTTGGCTGCAATTGTCCGTCAGGTGGCCGGCCCTCTGATGGTATTCACAGTAGGCCGATTGGTCAAGTCCCATATGCTTCTTCATATCTTGGGGTTCCATCAGGAGGCCCTTGTCCTTGATGGCCTCAAAGATTTGGCTCAATGGATAGGCCAATGGGACATAGCGGTGGTCCGGTCGCGTCTGAATATCTCCGGACGGAGCCTTCCAAGGGACCATCGCCCCGTCCGCCTTCTTCTTTTTGTTTGGGGGGGAGGGCCCGGCCCCCGGTCTGGGTCCGAGCCTGTCCGCCATCTTCCGTGGGTGGGCCGCGGGAACTCCGTCCCGCTGCCTGATCTCCTCCTCGATGGAGGCATACTTCTGGGCCCGAGCCAGAACCTCGGTGTAGCTGGTGCCGAGGTTTCTCCTCAGGTCCCGGTACAGATCTCCGGTGGCTAGGGCACTGGTGAACATGTTCGTGGCCAGACGTTCGTCCAGATCATCGACCTGCAGGACTTCGTCCCTCCACCTTACCAGGAACCTAGCCAGCGGTTCGTCCCGCCCCTGTTTGATGTGGGCGAGAGCCGTGACGTCCTTCCTGGGGGTGGTGCTGGCAGCGAATTGGGCCATGAACTGCCGGGAAAGCTGTTCATAAGAGTCGATGGTGCCCGGCCTCAGCTGGCCGAACCACTCTTGCGCCGGCCCCCTGAGGGTGCTGAAGAACAATCTGTAGATGGCCTCGTCCGATGCTCCCAGCATGGACAAGTTTCCTTGGTAGCTAATCAGATGGGCCTTGGGATCACCAGCCCCGTTGTACACCAAATTGCCCGGGGGCCTGCAGTCCCGGGGAATCTCGACGCTCATCACCCGGGGGGTGAAGGGTGACGTGAGAGACAAAGAGGGCGTGGCCGAGCCGACGTCCGTCCGTCTGTTCATCTCAGCTATCTGCGGCTCCATTGCTTCCAGCCTTGCATCCTGTGCGGCCCTTCGGGGGGACACAGGGGGCACGGCCTCGAGAGCCGCGTTTCGCTGAGCGGCCACAGCATCGTGCGGCCGCCTAAGGATTTGCGGACCTCGCCGCTGGAAACGTCGTCCAACGGTGTTGATCCTTGGGGTTTCGTCCCCTCGCGAGACTTGGCGGGGAACTGATGGCGTGTGCGCCCTGAGAGCAGCGATGCTGACCTTGGTTCGCCCTCCCGTTCCACGGGAGCCTGAACCTCCACCTAGCCGCTCATGGACTGAGGGCCGGTGGTCGCTGGACCCTGCCGTATCATCGTACGACTGCATACGGCGGATGGGAGAGAGGGGTGTTCGCTGGGTGCTTGCAGAGTACACCTGCTCTTAGCCTCCCGTTCGTCTGCCAAACGGCGCATGGTGTCGGCAAGCTCCCGCATGAGACGGGGATCCTGCCTGGCCTCAAGGGGAATGAGGTCAGTGATACCCCCGTTTCCCCCGGAGGTCCAGATCGTCGCGGACAGTTCCGAGTTCTGGCCGTGATTCCGGCGGCTTGATTCCAGACGCTCGGAGAGGTCACGCTGGTTGTTGCTTCCTGACATCGTGTTTGCTGTAGGTAGATTTAGTAGCTGTTTTGGGAGAGTTTCTGGAAACTTTTTGTTCAGTTTCCCACAGACGGCGCCAGTGTTGAAGTCTATTCCTTCAACCCTCAGGCCCAACACGTAAGCCCAAAGATTTCGAGTTGAGTGAGTGTACGAATGTATGAATATCTAGCCCAACAACTATCAGACGGATCAGGAAAACAGAGGGAATAGCAGGCAATGTAAATAGGTATTATTAACTTCGTAATAACTCCCCTAAGTACAATCTACTTGCTAAAAAAGGCACGTCGGCCGTTCGTCTTACAAGGCAGTAGAAGTGCTGCGAGTAAGAATGCTGAAGCTAGAATGCTGAGAATAGAAAGTCGCCAACCCTTTACAATGAAATAAATGCTTCTATTTATACCCACCAATGGGCAGGTGGCTATGCTGACGTGGAGGCCTGTGGACCGCTGGTGTCCCAACCACCAAATCTTCAGCATTAAATGCACTTCCCGCCAGAATCTAGGCTTCCCGCCTAAATAGTGGGGACGTTCGTCCGCCCGGGAGGCGAGCTGGATTGCTCCAAGTGACCCTCAAGAGGTTCCGGCTGTTCGTCTCCTGGCCTTGATGGATTCTCACCATGTGGACTGGATCTCCTCCGATGACTATGGGCTTGCTCAGGAGACGTTCGTCGTCATCCCTGATGGCCCGTGGTCCTGCCCCTGGTCCCCGCATAGACGTTCGTCGCGATGGGCCGTTGAGCCTGAACCCCCAACTCCAGACGTTCGTCCCTCCTCAAGGAACATGGGCCTGCGTGCTAGCCTTGTGTTCTAACTGGACGTACGTCTGGTAAAAAGGGGTTAATGGGCCGGACCTCGGCTTGGGCCATTAACCCAACAAACTACTTTTCCTAATCGTGTCACACCCTCTTTTTCCAATGTTATTGGGACGGAGATAATAATATCTATATATAATTAAAAAAATTGTATTTCTTATTTGTGTGTGTGTATATTTGTTTTTGTTACCACATTAACTATTTTAATTTAGTTATTTAAAAAAAGTATTTGATATTATTATTTATTTTGTCGGGTTTCCCTAAGTCTCTTAGCAGAGGGCCCAAATAGACGGAATTGAGTGCGTTGCTCGTGACCCTTTGAGATGAGTGAACATTGTTACTGGCTAATTACATTGCTGATTCAAGATCATAATTATTGATTGTAGTGAATATATTGTTTTTGTTGTTTACTAAATTTTTTAATTTGGTTTGTATTTATGTTTTAAACTCAACTTTTGATGTTTAAAATGATGCTATAAACATTTTTTTTTCTCTTGTAATTTCAAACGATGAATGTTTTTTTGGCACAAAATCTAAAGGTGATTTGTAAGATTCTTTTAAAAAAAACTTGGAAGTGTTAAATGACAAGAACAGAACTGTTAAGAATGATTCGATTTCATACCGTTCTATAAAATAATTATACAAACCGGACCGTTATTAGATTTGATATATTTCAAACGATTCCATCTATTTGACAAGGAATCGATCTGGTCCCCAGGCCTATGTGTTCTTCCACTAACTCTAAGCTAATTAGGATTAGATATATAGTACGTGAGCGCGTTTAACATTTAGCGGTTAACGGTTATTGTAAAATAAATTATATTACCAAGTTGTTAATATCAAATTAAGTCAATAGGTTTGACTGAGGAATAACTTGGCAGGTTGCAAAAAGATGTTTGGTAATTTAGTCGTTTTGACATATGAATTAGTAGGAAATGCCTATTTCAGAACTCTAACCCAAAACGCTGATAATAGCGGTGTTTCCGTTCATGCGATTCCGCCCAAAAACGCTAGAGCTGAATAGCTATTTACCAAACATCGTTTTTTACGAAAGTATTTGCCCAACACCGAAATGCTATAAAATAATAGAACATTATATAAGACTTTGAACCACTCTTCTATTAAGTTGATCTTTTAGGATGG